TTAATTTTAGTATACTTAAATTTTAAAATAGCTTTACTAACTTTTATTTAACTCACTATAGCCAAATAATTATCTTAAAATTTTTATTTTCATACTGTCTTTAAAATTAGGTGTGTATTACATCGTTATATCACATCTATATTTGAACTGGTCACATTTCAAGTGTTTCACATTGTACATGACAATGTAGTTTCTGGAGCATTGTGACAGTCTTTAAAATTGATTTGTTAATTATATTCATCTGAAGATATTAGGGATTTACAGAATTGCATTTTCACAAGTTACTCTATATAATGAGACTATTTCTTTGTATCAGTAGGAATTGTCATGGGGCAGAAATCTTACCAATTATTTGAGTAGAGAATAATAAATAGAAAAATCATTAACTAGTTATAAAGTTGTAAAGGGTAGAAAATAAACCTCTAATGGAGGCAGAGGAAGACACTGGTAGGAGAGTAAGCGTTAAAGTCAGCAGAAGTTAATACTGTGTTTTATACAGTCCTGCAGTACAAATAGATGCATGGTTAGACGCATAGGCTGAACGGGCACGGGAGGGAGAGTGCGAGTATACCCACAAATATTAATAGGTTATTTTTACATGGTATTACCCGTGCTACAAATATAGCCATGAATGTGGTAGAGCATAAAGGTGGCAAAAGTTATGAAAACTTCTTATACATAATCAAACACCTTGAGGGAATGAGTCGTTGGATATGGGGGCTCAGAACCATAACCTCAGTACACCTAGATCAGTTGGAATAAAATAATCCACAAAGACAATGCTCTATATCCTGGTTTGGTGAATAGCAACTGGGGTCTTAAAATCTTATGAGAGGCCATCTAAGGCTCTCCCTACCAGAGGAAAAGAGTGATGAAAATAGAAAATACATGGAAGCAATTAGTCCAATGGGCTAATGGACCACACAAACATCTGTCTTCATGACCCTGAGATCAGAACTAGATGGTGCCCAGCTACTAGTAACAACCAGCTACTCTGAAAGGGACCACATTTGAAGGTCCTAGATGGAGTGAGAGAAAAATGTGAAGCAAACTCAAAGTGATTTACTGGTTATAGAAACTGATGGAATTCTGAGACTTTGTCCTTTAGTCACCTTTCTGGCTACCCCACCTCCTGGCTCTATTTTCAGCCAAAGAATAGAGAGATCAATAAGGGGAA